ATAAAATACAGCAATTCAAGGCCAGCCAAATGTCTTCTATGAAATGTAATAAAAGGAAAAGGAATTTTATTTAACAGAATTATAAAAATGAGATTATCTTAACTGTCAGAATTTTCTAACAATATTAAAATTAAATAGCTGGTTATTACCCTCTGGAATAATTTGTTCTAATTACATTAGTATGTGCTCAAAAACTGAAAATAAATCAAAATATCACTGGCAGATTCAAGATAACCGAATAGATTTTTTTAGACAACTTCTATTATTTTACATCTTACCTTATCCATTATCACAAAAATAAAATAATAATTCTTTCCTGTCATCAACAAGGAAATGTATGTGTAGCAATCTGCAWCTCTTATTATAAATAATATAAATATTATATAAAATAAAAAGCATCATATAGAAAGTATCACTAGTAATATTTAAAGACACTAAATAACATTGCAAAACATTAACCAGTGTGGTACCTATCTGTCATAGCAAATATTATTCCTGTATTTCAAGTATATCAACCAATATTCACACTTTATACAAGGACAAATACAATCTAAATATTGATATTTTCAATATTCTTTTCTATATTGTGAACTTCATCATATGGCTCATTCTTAAAACTTACATGTCTAAAAAATACATTTTAAGGGAATGACATACATCCATTTAGAATTAATGTATGATTACATGTGCTCTAATTTAAGAAGTAGCAGCTTCTTAAAGAAAGGCTTTTAGAGTTAAAACTCCTATTCTACAGCAAACATTTCCATCTGTTTTTCTAACACTGAATCTCTAAATATTTGCATGCAAATTCACATTTGCACATGCAAATAGTCCAGCTGGCCTCAGAAGGGCTATTCATGCACAAGTTTTTCAAGATTGGGAGTAAGCATGCAAGATGGTTTTTAAACGATGGTCACAAAGGGCTGCTTTTTTTGATACAGAAAAAGACACTATTTTCAGTTTTTATATTCCCAGTAAATTTGCATTAGGATTACAACAACTAGGTACAGAACTGATCATTTCAACAGAAGTTTGTTGGAAGCTACTTCACTGGACACAAGCGATGTGCTGAAGTTCCATTTGTGGGAAATAGGGACAGAGGACTCCTTATTTCACCCCACCCAAGGAAGCTGGACTTCTATTGTAGTACTTGTCTTTTATTTCTGTGTCTTTTTAAATTTTGGAATACACTCAGAGGAATCTAGCTTCACTAAAATGTACTTGTCTAACATTTTCTCTATACACTACATTTACATTAGCATTACATTTAAACCAAGACACAGCCAAGTAACTACTTGTAATTAGCACGAGCCACAGCTTCACACCGGTCTTGGCTGTTTGGCTTCATCTTTAAGCACGGGAAGAGTAGTCATATTTTTTAATGGTACCTAAATTACTTTTAATAGCATTAAAAGATGCARTTCTAAAAGCAAGAGTATTTTGTGCCATTTAACATGCAAAATATGCATAGTAGTCATTAGCTGACCACAGTTTAGAACACTGATTTGGCACAGTGTCTCCACAGAATGTGTCCCAGATGTTATTATAAAGTTTTAATGCATGTACAAAGAATAAAAATAAAAAAACCCTTTATGACACTAATAAATGGTCTAACTTCTAAGACCATATGCAAGATTTCAATTCTTCATAAACATTTGAACTAATTTAGTAAACATTTAGAAAACTGTGTACTGTGCTACAGATTTTAAATGTGACAGCTGACAACATAAATTTTCTGGATGATGATCGAGTCAATGTTAGTGCAGCTGTAGCAACAGTAAGACATGCAAAAGCTTAAAGTTTAGTTTCAACTGTTTGAGTGCATTTTTCATACGATTCAAGGATTGCCAATGATTTACACTCGCTACATAAATTCTAAATTGCCAGTAAAAATAGGAAATAAAATTTGAACTCCTTAAAATTATTTTTGGAAGTATTTTTCAACTGTACAAGTAAGGAGTCTGGGCAAAGCACTAAATTATCCATTTCCTGCAAATAAGTAACACTTTAAACAACAATGGTGCTTTAGAAAGGAAACAATCTCTTATTGAAAATAACATAAATAGAAAAATTATGCATATTAATATTTTTATTACCTAAGTAATTCAAGCAAAATATTTAGCCTACAAAACTTACATTAGAAGCCAGACTGTGTAGCTGTGGGAGCTTGCTTGAGTAAAAGCTGCAGGTTTTGGGGTTTTTTGCTTTGGTTGCCTGATAGGTCTCAGTGCACAGAGTGCATACGATTGTCCACTGCTTTATTCCATGCTATCTTTTACCACTATCTTTTACCACTAAGCCTATTAATGCATTTATAATAACATTATTTACATAAATTAAAAGGTCCACGTACATAAGGTTTGGGTTCATTTGTTCTAAATTCAGCTATCAAAGAAAATCATCTACATCTCATGTCTTCAATAGGCCATTTTTAGGACTACTAACAGAGGATAGGATCAAAAAAAAAAAAAAAAAGGATGACCACAAGGGACTTTTAAAGCACACATGATAAAAACCCTGAGGGCTGCCTATAGCTGAAAGCATATTTAGAGTGACAAACTAAGACTTACATGACTTGTGCTTCAATRATTGTAAATAATATAGTTATCATAATTAAATAGAAGCAACTATACAAAATAAAACCTGAAATTACTCTTCTCCTCAAAATTAAAAAGAATCAGTAAAATAATGAGTAGCAAATCAAAATAATGAATGTAAACCAGAAGTACTTAACATCCCATCCTTCTACTTTTAAATGCTGGTTTTAATAGCATTCAGCAGAAACTGAGTCCCAAAATCCAATTTCTGAAATTCTTAAGTTTCTGCCCCTCTTTCTATGACTACTTGACTAGCTCATGTAATGCTCACAACACAAATCTGGAAAGAAGGTGACATAAAACAAAAATGTCATAGAGCACTAGCTATTTCAGCATATAGAAAAAAATTGCATTTGCAAAATATTTCTACCAAAGCAGTACCTAAGTTTTGCTTTCTGATTATCTTATCTTTCGTTTATCYGATTACCCAATACCTTATACCCCTCTCTTTGTGCCCCCTTATCTTGTTTTCCTTCTTTTTATTCTTCATTATTATAATATTCTTTTCTGGTTTTCTTCTTTAGCTTTCTATCCAAACATTTTTCTGCTTCTTACTTCTTTCTGCCACATAGAGTTGATCAGATAGTAGAAAATAAAAAATATGGAAACACTGCAGAATTCTACTGTGGAAACAGTCATTTCCATCACGTCAGTGTATAACAGTCAGAATAACACATTATGTGGAAAAAAGGCATCAGGTTGCCACTTTATTAAACATATATGAGATAAGGTAGAGAAAGCAAGTTATCAGCTTATGCTGCAACATCAACCTAGAGCTCACCATAGGGAGTTTCCTCAGCACTGTGACTTTGCATCTTCTGTTGCAAAGTTTCTTTGTTGATACTCATAGCTATCCAAACATAGAGCCAGGGTAGAAAACTGGAGGAGTCCCTTGATGGCTCTGTTGTACCATTTGGCTAAATTTTGGTAGTGAAATACAGAAATATGAAACAAAAACTATTGCCTGATACACTGAGATATCTGAGAAAACTGGAAAACAAAAGCCTAAGGTTATGTCTTCTCTGAATTGACTACAGTCTCCTATACATATTTGGGACCTGAAATTTAGATATCCCTGAGCTTCATTGTCTCACAATTTGCTAGCTATGTTCTCAGCATAGAACCTGATTTCAGAAAAACATGGCAAAGAATAGTGCTAAATACATTTAAAATAATAGACCTCTTGTAAGAGGTCATGCAGACAGAGCTTGTATCTCTGAGAGATTAGATGGTACGAAGAGTATTTAAATTCTGGTATAAGTTTTTATTTCTTAATCCAGTGGAAGTTTTTATTTCTTTATCCAATAACTGTTCATCTAAAACCCTTAACTAAGTCAGGAAAAAAGGTATCAAGCATGTATGACGTGTGTTAAAAATGCCCGAATCTGAAGCAGAACTAGAAGTCAGATCTCCTTTTTTTCAAGGGAAATGTGTTCTAACTAACACTGTATTATGGCAAAACATGAGCAGTAGAGTGAGAGCATCACTATTGCTGGAGGAGAGACCCTAGTATTATTCCTAGATAGATTTTCAGGCACTGAGTCTCTGAGGTACCTACCTCTATCTATTTTCAGCTCCAGGTACTTCCTGAGCCTGATGTAGTTTCTCTTATTAGTTGCCAGTGGATCTCACTGCTGAGTTTTCCCTTAAATCTATGTAAGCTTTTTCTTTTATTTTCATTAGAACTTTCACAAATAATCTTAAATACACAGTCTTGTGCAATGAAAAAGTAACTCAAAGGCTGTTCAAGGACAAGTATCAATCAGGGGTAATACAAGTTTAAAGGAAAACACTCAGAGAAAGATAAATGCTAGAAGAATTAAGAGTTTTACACACTGTAGACTCCATACTTCAGCACTTTACTCTGGAAACTTGTAAGTGCTGAAGTATGGAGTGGAGTCTACTCCTCTTGATTTTTATCAAGGTTTCTTTTTCTGTAGGAATAAATTTGTTACATCATTTTTATGCCTTGATTCTGTAATATATGGATTGATATATAGCCAACACTACATAAAATTAAAAAATATGCAGAATATGTTTCAAGGTTGAGCAAACAGTGTTATGAGTTCTGAGCAGCACACAAATATTCTGTCATCTATGGAAATAAAATCAAATTTCTATAATAAAAATTATATTTATACACAAAACAACTTTTTTTTCAATTTCCAAACAAAATTACAGTTATCAATAGTACTTTCAAAACACAGCGCAAAATACTAAATATATTCCATTCTTCTCAAAACATTTTTAAAACAAAGASTATTATTTTAAATAGTGTAAAATAAGTGTAAAAATAGTTTAAATAAGTGTAAGAATTTGATAGTCAATCTTTCTACCAGCAAAGAAAAAGAAATTGTAACAAGAACTCCAGTAACATTGAATTACTTAAGAATCTATATTTACCCACGCACTGGAATATTCATATTTCTTGCTGCTTTAACAACTTCTTGAAATTTGTTTATGCTTTCTTCAATTGAACAATTAATATTCATTTTGCTAAAAGATTCAGATGCTGCACCAAATACTGAAACTTCTGTAGCTCCTGCTGCAATCTGAAAGATATATTTCAATAAAACAGAAGAGTAATAACATATCAAATGATTAAACTGTGTTTAGTTTTGTAAGATATTCTAGAGTTTTAGTTTTAAGTAGATTAGAAGTCTCACACACAACTAAAAAGAAATTAAAAATGTATAAAATTTAACTCTTCTTTAATCTATTTGAATGTTAAGAGATTGAAATTAATTTTATKAATTCATCTCACACATGTTTTCTTCTTTCTATCAATTGAATAAGCATACATTTTTGGGTACTAAAACATTCAAAATGAAATAAAATCTAACTATAAAAATAACAGGTTGATATTAACATTTCATTTTTCAGAAAAGGAGGAGATTGTATAAATACTGTGAAATATTCATCCTCTCTATGAATAGCAGAAAATTACTCTACTACATAGGACATGCTTTATGACCTAAACATAYCGAGGGTGGCAACAATATCAGCTTCTGCAGAATAACATTTAAGCTTTAGCAGCTTTGACAAGAACAAAAATCTTTTCCAAGGGAAGGGAAAAATAAATAACAACAAAAGGAATTAAGGATTTACAAACACTCCACTTTCATATCACCAAGGACGGTATAGAGATACAACAGATATCAGTCAGTTCTATGAAGAATATTATTAAACTGTGTCCAATACTTTCCAATAAAATTTCTTACTTCAGAAACTTGTCTAGGACTAACAAGTCAAAGAAGGAAAAGAAATTTTCTTTCCCTGATTATGGAAGCATCACTCATAACACTTTGCAAAGACTCACTGATATCGCTATTAACATATGGACATACAGAATTTCATTTATTCTGTAAATTTGGTCATATTTTGATCACAGAAACTGGGAGTTTTTTCATTAAAATATAGCTTAGTTCTAACAGTACAGAGCATCTGATACTAAACAATTCGGTTTTGGTGCTGAACTGAAAGTATCTGAAATATAAAAGCACCAAATGGTGACTTCTATGAAAACACTTACAGCAGAATGAAAGCCTTGAAGATTAGGTGTGAGAACAGGATATTGGACTCCAGGATAACGCTCAATGCCTCTCATTACTTCTTTATGATCTGCCATCTAAAACAGGTAAATATTTTGTATTGATTACCAGTTATCTTCTCATTTTGTATAGTAAGGCAGAAATTATCTTACATTGTATTTTTGTTCTGATTAGGTATATAGTTTGWAAAAAAGTGTAACAGCAAAGTAGGTAAATAAAGATTGTACAATGACTCATTTTTTATATTTCTTAACTTTCAAATACTTGTGGTACAAACTTTCTAATTCGATATTATTATAAATCTGGAAATAAGATTTCTCTTGTGTTTCTTTTGTATCTGTATAAAACACAACTGCAACATGTATTGAGCAACTATGATCAAGTGGATCACTGCAATTTTAAATGTACTTCAACAGACTCAAACAGTAGAACAGAATAATGAAAATTCCAATACCATCAAAATGACAAAATTTTCCTAAAAATTCACTCTAACTGAAAGAGGCTAAAAAAGACTTTAGAGTCTTAAATAGAATTGAACCTGAACTGTACTCAACACGATAATAAGTGTGTCTGAAAAGGCTATGCACAACTAAATTATTCTTAAGAAAACAGTAAAACCCAGTTCTTCATATAGCATAATTTCTTAATCTATTTAGAACTTTATTTTAAATAGAAAAAAATCTCATTTGTTACAGCAAACAAAATGTTATGAACAGGTTAAAGAAAATTACTTTCAAGAGTTTGTTTTCATGCACAGTATCTAACTGCACAAGCTGCATTCCTCCGAAGAGAAACTATCTATTTAAAATATGCTTTTCTCACTCATGATTATAGCTCCGTATACTAATCAACAAGMTTAATCAGAGACTCATTCATGTAATAAACTAGGGATTATTCAGACCAGCACATTTTCTTGAAAAAAAAAATGTAGGAAAAATGAGTTTATGTTTTAATAGTGCTTCTCTCTGGAAACAACAAAATTAATCAAGTATATACCTCATTTTTTATGTCTCTAAAAGTCTGAGTTAAAATCCAAATCAATAATGTGCTTTCTGTGCTGTTTAAATCAGTTCTCACATGATCGTATCTTCCAAGCAAAATATACTCGTTCTGTTATTAAATTGCCTCTCAGATTAATTCTTTTAAAACTGACAGAAAGTCAATTTAGGACTACCTCGGTAAAAAATATATGAACAACAAAGCTTTGGATACACATTATTTACAATGGATACACTGACAGATTCCGAGTATCACGATTTTAAATATATACATATAATTATTAAATTATACYATACTGTTAAGTGACAATACTTTTGGCATCCTGGAATCTTTATGTCACCCTTTTTCTAATATGAAAATAAATGTATTAAAAATATCATAGAAAGACATGCATATCAAATATATGTCTGTAAAGAACTAGATATATGGTATGGAAAGTGCCTTATAGCTATACACAATTCTTTTCTCAAGAATCAAATGGTGGCACAAGGGAACTTTTTGTAACTGTTTCTACATAAAGTAAATCAGTGTAACCACCTAAAACATGTAATAATCTCAAAGAAATACATCCTATCATATTTTATTTTTAAAAACCCTATTTTTTTATTCCTTAATTAAACAGAAAAAGTATCTCCATTTCTCAAGAACTGGAAAAATACTTGAAACCAAATGATTAATTAAATGGCAAATGTTGGAACTAATTCCACACTTTAAAATTATAGTCTGACTTAGAATATACTAGAAAACCAAAACGACAGCACTTCAAACTGCATAAAGCTGCCAGGTCCAAGTAATATTTTATGTAGTACATTTGTCCCATTGCTATTTTTCCTGTAAGAAAAAACCTATTTTAACACATATTGCATGTTATAAGTTCTTAAATTGTAATAAAATATTTCTTTTCCAAATTTCTTTTAAAATAAGCTTTTAATGGTAGGTATTTATAATTTTTGGCCACTTAGGTTATAGGTGTGGGATCCTGTTTTATATGGCACCTTGCTACCGTGGAACTTTTCCTTTTAGCTTTTTTCAGCAATAAAACCTCTGCCAAAGAAAACACTGGGTGGGAAACCATAAAAAACCTTTAAAACACTAAAAAAAGAAATAAGTGAATGAGTGATCTAAACTTAACCAGGAATTTTATTCCCATGACCTAAAAAAAAAAAAAAAAAAAAAAAAAANAAAAAAAAAAAAAAAAGCACAGAAAAGACAAAGTCAAGACTGCACTCCCTATCAAAGCAGCACAATCTTGAAATCTATGAAATCTATGAAATCTATGAAATCTATGAAATCTATGAAATCTATGAAATCTATGAAAATAATGTACTCAGACTTGAATTTAAGATAAGAAGGGATTGTTATTTTTCTTTCCCAAACTGACAAACCAAAGTTAAATTTGGTACTCCTAAAGGCTCACAGGAAAAGCAAATAAGCAATAAAGGAAGAAATCGACCTTTGCTTTCCACTTTTCATTTGCATATATTAAAACTCTATATTATTCTCTGTTGCTTTTCTCATGCCAAGGTGTGATGGTCCTTGGAAGGRTCCTAGCCTAAACACTTCTAATGGAAATAATCTCAAAGCACATTATTGTGGTGCTGACAACAGAAAAATTYTGCACTGTTTATGCTTTCTTTTTATCCTTTCCTTTTATCCTTTCTTTGGGCGTCTCCTTGGTGGCCCCAGGAACACTGAAATGAATTGGGAGTCCATGAGAGAGTGCTGTACAGCCAGTCTGCTCTCGTAGCTGTTGAGCAAGGTAAGGTACGAGTCTACCACAGCCACCAGGCCAGTGCCAGGGTGTGTTCTCAATTTAAAATGGATAAAAGTTTTATACATTTTGACAGAAGTCAACAAAATATATTTAAAAATATTTTATATTAATTAATTTCAAGTTTTATTTCTTAAGTAACATGAGTAGTCCTTATTAAACATACAAATACTCAAATGTTTCTGTGTCTGCAAAATGTGTGACTTCTCTAAAATTAGTTTATATGCTATAAACAAGTATTGACTTATTTCTTTACCTGCAGGCAATAATTAAGTTTGAACAAACAGGAGTTATATGGTATACTTTAGGACTAGGCCTGAATTTTAAGCATTAAATCTCAAATAAAAACCTGCCACCTCTATTGGCAAAACAGCTTTGCTGCTTACTACAAAAAAAATAGTCAGGATTTCTGATGAACTGCAGCAAAAATAGAAATTAATTCTGGAAAAGTAATGAGCAAATTATTACAATTCATCAAAATCCACTATGGCCACTGATAGAGTGCTAGATCTATAAAATACCTCGGGTACCTAACTGCTGCTGCATATGCCAAAGTCCCAAATTTAGATCTTCCAAAAACATTCCCCAATGTGGAAAATTGAATTTTATTTAGGGAAAAGAAAAGAATTATGTGACTTTTCTGTTTTACATCAATTTTTCTTAGTTCTCAGGAAAGTAGGAAATAGGTAGAAACAACTTTAAATTATATTAACGATCCATCACCTCAGGTCTTTAGCTGTTTAGCTGTTTAGGTTTTTAGTTACAGTTAATCAAATATTTAAATAAAGTACAAAAAACATTATTTCCCTTGTCTCTACTCCAGACTACAACATAGGACTCAGCATAAAGAAATTTCTATGTATTAGTGATTACTGTGAAAAGTYTCTGCCTCTTTCAGAGCACATCCAAAATCCATACAGGATCTGCAGCCTGCAGCTCTCCATCATGCACGTGTGTCTGCATCTCTGCAACTGTTTATAATGGTAGCGTTGGGGAAAGAAGAACATCATGGACAGATTTAAGAAAATCACAAGTGACTGAGGTCGGCAGGGATCTCTGAAGGCCATCTGGTCCTTCCCTGGTCCTCAACCAGGTCAGCTAGAGCAGAATTGTGTTCAGTCAGGTTCTCAACATCTCCAAGGAGGGAGACTCCAAAAACTCTYCAGGCAAAATGTTTCAGTGCTCAGTGTACCAAACATAGCAGATACTTGAGGAAATTGATGTTTGAGTTCAAGGAAGCGTCAAGCTGCCATGACACTCCACACAGCCTCTAGGCCRGAGGAATTTATTCCTTTGGCCAGGGAGCATTGCTGTGAAGTATCCCCTGTTTGCACTATCTCCACATACCTACCTCTCCCTTTTCTGATTGCAGGTTCTGAATGAGTGTTGTTTCCACAGAAGGTGTACTCCGTYACGTACTTCCACAGAGATCATGCCCACAGCAGTTCATCCAGATATTCAAACCCACAGCTCTATACTCTGACAGCTTCATCTTCTCAAGTCTTTGTCACTATGTCTACACTCAGAATCCTACAGTCCAGTTACCCTGTACTCCATCACCCCCACACCTCTTATCCAAACTCAGTGTCCTGAAACCTAATTCCCACATTCTCCCTTTATCGCTATCCCTTGCACATGCATATACACACACATTCCTAACCTGCTTTCATAGCCTTGTGCTGCTAAAGGAAAATCTACAACCACCTTCAAACATATTTATGTTTGGAAAGTGAAGATCACATCTGTAATTTCTCACACATCATGCAGAAATCTTCGGAAGTCACACTCCTACCATTTCTGTTTATCAGAGCCCAGCTCCCCTCCTAAGAGTTTAGCTGCCTGCACTGAAGTCCAGTTCATTGATGAGACCAGTTTGAGAATCCTCAAGTAGCTTTGGACCTCCTCAAGAAAATGTCAGAAAGTTCAGCTGACAGTTGATCAACTCACAGTTCTACTAAGAAACCTGCTTTTTCACTCAGAAGTACCGGACTCTCATGCTTCCCCCTGCCTGAGAAACACTGCAGTGCATTGCAGCCAAGCTCATCCTTGGCTGTGCATCCTCTTGATTGTACCTCTGCTGATTGACTCCATGTTAGAGACTTGACTTCCTTGATTTGAATTTGCCTCATCACTCAACTTTTCTGAAGATCTGCTTGTTTGGCCTCCATGGCTACCTTCACCAGACCTGCTCTGCTCCTGGGCGGGACTGCCCTTTGTCAGCAAGGCCTGAATCTCTGCTCACCTTGTTATCATTAGCTCTCAGTTCCCCATCCTTTGTGGAGCCATAGGCTGCTCCCCAGCTCTACTAACTAGATTTAACCAGTTTCCTGCCTGGCTTGCTGGCTTTTCCTAAAACCAATTTTTTTTTTTTAAACACAGTGTTTACATGCACTGCAGATGACCTGACAGGCATGTAAATCAGAACTGTGGTAACAGTAAATGGCCAAATACATTCTAAGTGGAAAACCCTATGTTCAAACAAATCCTTCAATGGGCAGATGAAGATATCAGAAGTTCTTTCAGTTCTAATACTTTATCAATATTCAAAAGAACCTGATGAAGTGTCCAAAAAAAGAAGCATCTGTGCAGCAGTATCTTGATATTTTTGACTAGAATATGGCTTGTGGAATAGATAGATAGATAGATAAAGGTATGAGAATTCTTTGACACCTTACTACTTTTTAATGATTTGCCCAACTTCACTGGACCTTCATAAAACTGTAAAACTTTTAAACCATGAAAATCTTACAAAAAACAAGCAAACAAACAAAAAAACCCCACCAGATTACTCCTATCCCATATTCTTGTATAGTGAAGCAGGCAAAAGTATTAGAAAACCTCATTGCATGCCTTTAAATTTAAATAATTCTCATGGTGATGACTTTACATACCTGAGGAACCCACTTGGATGAAACAAAACTGGTCACTTCAATTGCAGGCAAGCCTGTTTTAGAAAGCCGATTGATTAACTCAATTTTGACATCAGTTGGGACTATGACCTAGGGACATGGAAATATAGTAAAGTATTTCATGCAGCAAGATACTTCTGGAAGATAAATGGTCTTAGCACACAATGATACATTATTTAAAGTAATAAAGTATGCTCATACATTATACGATATCTATACCCTTTCCTGGCAGAAGGAAACTACTGCACAAGAAAAGCACTAAGCAGTATGCATGATCCAATTCCGTCTTTTGTCCAACACAAAAGAATGTGAAAAACACTTCCATTTAGTAACCAAATACGAGCATACTGAAGAAGTGACAAAGGAAATCATACCCCAGCCAAAGGGAGAAAAAAAAAAAAAAAAAAAAAAAAAAAAAAAGATGTGCAGTTGAGGCAGAGTGATCTCCTATTCTGTTAATACTGTTAATGCTGTTAATATCTCTGTCATCAGTAACAACATATGTAAACTTAATCTGTGATATTATAATTCAAATATATTTATAGTACATAATTAATTAAAATGATATTTCTRTTTTACATACAGAGTATAACACCTACATTCTGGTGAAAAAAAAGGAGAGAAAAAGATTACTTTTTCATTTTGCAAGCCATCCCTCGGCCCGACTTCTACTATCTTCACATATTCAGGCAGTCCAGCTGTTTTAGATTCCTGAAACAAAAATCACACAATGAGCACAAAACACTGAGGGTCTCTTAAGATCAAAGATGCAGTTTGTATATGTCTTCTTATATGACGCTGGGTATGAAGTCATTTTATCAACAGTAGGTTTGCTCACTATCCTTAAAAATTTGTGAGAACATGTTCTGCACCTTGAACTAGGGAATAAAAGCTGAAAGCAGAAGTTATCTGCATGAATGCTCCATTGCTTCTCCGAAGCCACAAATGTTTATTGTACAAAAGTATATAAAGCTATAAATGAGCACTGTGTTTTACAAAGTGAGAAACAGTCCCATTTCAAAAAGCTTCCAAACAAACGATGCAGTCCTCCAGACTTTACTGAATGTTCTCAATTTGCAGAGCAGCTACTTCTGTGTAAATGTTTGCAAGGCGAGGCTATAAATCTGAACGGAGCAGAGCAATCAAGAAATGCTGAAGAGATTATGTTAATGAAAGATAAAAGTCATCCCTCTGCTTGAAGATGAAGGTTTTAAAAAGAACTTACAGGAAACCAAGGAAACCTGGTAGACAAAAATAATTTTACCGGTGTAAGAGGCAATTTGGAAAGGTAGGAGTCTTGGGATGAAAGGAGGGAAGGAAGACAGCAGCAAGGTTACAGGGCTAAAGAGATCACAGGGAGCTAGAGGCAGGGAAAGGGAAAACAAGAGCAGAAAATCAGGTAAAGGGAAATGAAACATCCTTTTTTATTATTATTTAGCTGGTCTGTTTCTGAATCGAGCTGACAGGCGTGGCAGTCAAAGTAACCTGGGCTTTTAAGTTGGTTCAGAGCAGCTGCTCATGTTGATTCCTGAAAAGCTGTGCCCTTTAAAGACAAYTCAAATGGCAAACTTTGGGCATCCTGCTGGGGCCTATGGAGGTAGAAGGGACATGTCCAGGCAGTTCAGCAGGAGCTGGAGGGACACCGCTTCCTGCAGTGAGCCGAACACAGCATCCAAGGCAGTGTCTTCATCCCAGTATTTCAAGCCCTTGATGGGATTAGTGCTAGCTACTTGAGAGACTGCTGCTCCCTCTCCAAGCATGACCTCCCCTGACAGCTCAATTTCCCTGGAACAATGAAACTGTCAGCTGGGAGGGAAAGGCGCCCGGGTGCAGGAGCCGGAGTTTTCACAGAAACCAGACGTAGACTCAAGAAGTCATTTCTTCAGTGTGTAAATAGGACCACTAATCTCACAACATTCCCATTTTTCACCCCTTCCTTACTAGCACTGTCAGTACAGTTTCAACCAAAGGGCTGACCATGTCTTCTCACAGCAATGGAAAACGAGCTGTCTCCACCATAGTTTTACAACACCTTTGGTTCACCCGCCCTGCACACCCATTTCATTGCTCACGGATAAAAGTAGGGTCTCTACAGTAACATTCACAATATAAGCTAAAATACAATAAACGTATTTCAGAGCATTTACTGTATATTTATCTAGGCACAGTAAAAAGAATGGGAAACAGCTGTTTAGTATCTTTTGGATCACGTGGAACATCTGGTAAGTTAAAACTTTGTCAGGCCGTGCTAAGCCCACACTCACTGACAGCCTAAACCCACTTAAATGTGGAGGTAAAACTTTCACATCTGCTGGATATTGTTACTTTAAAGAAAAAAAAAAAAAGTTTTTTTTTTTTTTGAACATGGCACAGCCTCAGCACTAGGGGCATAAATCTGGGCTTCATGATTATCAGATCCTTCTTGTTACAAGACAAATGCCACAGCTGTGTTACGAATAAAGCTGTGACTAAAAATAAAATGGGTTATGTGAACCAAAGTGTAATTTAGTGCAGGAAGAATGTCCGTAACACTTTGGTGGCAAAATGTTTAATTTCAAAGCCAAATCATGCAAATCCTATTCCGTTTCTATTGTGGTAAAACTTCTGCTGAAATCAAGGGCTATACAGGTCTTCATGGACAGTTTATACACCTGTATCAGATGCCATTTCAGTAGCCATTCACATAATCTTTTCACAGGATGGCTGGAGTTGTTGGATTTCACAAAGATCAGAATTTTGGAATGGACACTGCAAAAAGGCAATGAGTATTGACTTTTATACAAGTATTGATTTCTATTTTCCATCTGTGAGATAACAGGTGTATAACCTCATTCAGTCGTAGTCCAAGCCTCTCATAAGACAAGAGTCTTCATCCTTTCAGCCTTTCTGCCCTCTAGTCTCATCTTTAATCCACCATTCTCAAACATGACACTGACAAGTGTGTTCAGGGTGGCTCCCAAGAGCCACCAAGAAGAAACACTAAGCCTTATTACAGACWAATCCTTACTTCTTCCCAGCCTCGAGAACACTTCTTGGCTCTTAGCCCCTGAGTACCTTGCTTTGCACAGTTCCTCCTGCATGGTATCCAGTGTGCTACTAACAATGTCTCCTGTCTTTCRGTCATTGGCAAATTTACAGCCTTAGTATTCCATGGGGAAAATATTTGCACTAATGTGATTATTTTAGCACAAATATATATTATTGCCATAAATTTGGTCTATTGAAAAAACATATTAACCAAGAAGATCTGAGGATCTCCACAGCAAAGTACCTAGAGTCCAATAAATCTGCTTTTAACATTATCTCGTTTYCAGCTTCTTACTCACCCCACAATTTCTGTTCCCATCCTTCTCCTCTCCAGTTTAACTAATAACTTCTATTGTGCTGTATTGATGAAGCTAAGAGAAAAAGCAAGCAAAAGAGCCTCAGAATACTTAGATTCAGTCCCATGTGTGCCATTTAGGCATTTGCGATACATARTCATTGGAAAAAAATCAGAAATAAATCAGATGATACTATATCACTATATGCTCTGTTTTCTGCTAAAATTGACCAGCATTTTTCTAATTCTGTGTCCCAAGTTAGTACGAGTAGGAATGAAGTATCTGTTTGCCCTGATCTCACCTGTCCCATGTAAGGTAGCAGTTAGTAGGGTAGCAATTAGGACACCTTTCCAGGAATTTTGGAGACTAATATTTTCAGGAAGGAAATGAAAATAGACTTTCTGTTCTTTTGGAAAGGCTTCTGATCCTGCAGCCACACTTGCAGAGTATTTGAACACCGTTTAAAAACAGAGCTGAAGAAATGACCAGTCCATTTTTGTACTGGACCCAATGCCACCCACAGTCCTAAAGCAAACTCCAAATGCACAGAACAGACTGGAGTCCTAATGAACTTATGAAAAGTTTAAACTGTTCTCTACTGTCTGGATGGTCTCGGCCTTAATTAGGACTCAGACAACCAGGATCAAGACACCTGGTGCCCCTAACTGGGCCATTCCAAAGGTACAACCATTTGCAATAAAAAAMCACAGGTTTTCAGAACCAACAGTGAAACACACTAGGAGAATTTTAAGTACCGTAAATTGTAACACTAAAAAGCCCATAGAAACTAAACAGAAAATGAAAAATAGTTTGTATATTTTAAGAGAGTCAAAAAAAAAAAAAAAAAAGGAATGTTACAGAAATGCACATGTATTCAATACATAAGTATTCAACTAAAATGTCATGCAAATCTTTCCTGTTTTGGGAAAAATGTTGAGTAAAATTACTATATAAAAAATATTTTCAYGTATCAAGTATAAAAAGTAGCTTTTGTAGATATTTAGAGGTGACTGTTTACTGAATTATATACTGGCTCTGGTGAAAAGAAATGACTACCCAAAGTACAATGTTTAGAATATCGAAAAGGAAATAGTTGACATAAAAGACTAAGGGCCTGGAAAATTTGTTTTTTCCATGTATCAAGCCTTGCCAAGGGAGAACAAAAAGCATATAAAACCACAAAAAAAAAAAATGCCTTCCTCAAAACAGAATGCAGCCAAAGATTCTTTAAAAAAAAAAAAATGAAGTAGGAAAGCCATACTACTCAGCTTCAGACATTGTATGCCAAATTTCTGTATGGAAATATTTTCCCTGAGTTATAAATAGCTGAAGATAGAAATTTATTATAGAAAACTCTATTAACCCTTAATTAGAGCAGCAAAAGCTTTTTAGTACAGCCATAAATGTAATAAAATTAAACAAGCACAATTTCTTACACTTTGGCACTTCTAGTGACAGAACTTCTAGTGAAGCTGCTTCCGAACTTCTAGTGAAGCTGCTGATGGCCCTTCAGCTTTCCAACTTTCACTCCACGCAGCTCACCCCCATGGGCACTGACAAACAGATCCAGAGCTTTTCAAAGGTAATCAAAGGGATCCACAAGTACAGGAGAAGAATTTTCAATCTTTCTAGCCAAGCAAAGATGAAGCTCTGCTTTCCACTTCCACAAGGTGGTGTCCTGGCACAGAAGACAACTGTGCAAAGGTAGATGGATCCATCTTGCACAAGGAAGAGATGTGTTTGAGATGGGTTTTAAACTAGGATCAACAGGGAGGTGGCATTGTAACTCCATATGTGCATGTGCCGTGAAATGGACAAATATCTAAAAGCTGGAAGAAGGAATAATACAGTTGGTGGAAAGAGAATGAGAAACAATGGTCAATCTTCTGAACACTCCTCCAAACTTTACAAAAAATGGAGGAAATAAAAAGAAAGAAATTAAGATGTTAGTGTACAAATAATAATTAAAGTGGAATTGCAGAGACCTGTTTATACAGTTCACATTAGGAAGACAGATATAAAAGACACTCCTTTCTAAGTTAATTAGGGAAAAAAGGAGATTTCACCAGTGAGACATAAGAAATATAAACTGATATTCAGAAAACAGTTGGACACAGACCTAATGACTGTTCCTAGATAAAGAAAAATGGGAGGAAGACAGATACTATTGATAGTTTACTATACCAAACCAGAAAAAGCAGATAAATGCAAGAATTTAAGGGTGACACAGCCCTCTAAATTGGAAAAGAATTTTCCAATCGTGCTTTAGATTGAAGAGGGAGCACACAAACTGCAAAAAAATTTTGGATACAATTTTTTAACACAGTGGATAAAACAATTTCTAGAGTCTCTTGAGGCAGCAGAAGGCAGCTTCTGCCCATCCTACAC